CCACTCCACTAGATCTAAGTCTAGATAACATTCTGAGCACTATGGTTCCTATCATTTCTGTATTATTAACAAAAGATTCTGTATTTAGATATTGAATCAGTATTTGAAAGGAAACACTCATTGTGGCTTTTGCAAAGTATTTACCAAGAGACTCTGGAAATGAGAAGTCAGGACAATTAAATATTAATTTTTACTTAAGTTAAATTACATCTAAATTAATTTTAAGGGAGAAAATTATGATTAACATGACTAACTTCAAATACTCAATATCAGCTTCAAAAATCACCAAGTCTGAACGGTGAGTATTTTAGCTGCATGAGTTTGAGAAAGTCCCTGAAACTTAGTCTGTTGAAGTCATGCGATCATGCTCTGACCACAGCTTACCATCTCTGCATTTTAGAGTATATACATTTATAATTCTCTAATAGAAAAAATATTTCAGAGTGCTCAGCCCTAAATGGAACATCTACATCGCCTCCTCTGAGGCTCAGGGAACACGTGGAAGGGGGGGTGGAGATTGGTTTGGAGCTGGAGGATGGGGAGATGTGCCACGGAAAGCTGTCTTCTGTATATGGCACAGCTGTTGTACTCACGGTACCACCATGATTCCTTAACAAGAACTGCAACACGACTGGGCCTGTCGATCCTTCATCTGGGAGAGAGGAATGTATAGGGTTTCACCTCCCTGAGGGACTACTGACAGCTGCAGCCCATGCTTCAGAAGTAACTTTTCCCCAATGCTCACACAGACAGCCCCAGTTAAAGTCAGTGAGTGCATCACATATCCCCAACGGACATGAAAGTGGGAGCCTTGTTGGGAAGAAGGTTTCCAGTAGGAAAGGGAAAGGGTATGAGAGAGAATGGGTGTGTATAATGATTAAAATTCATGATCAACAGTAAAAAAAAAAAATCCAAGAATTTAAAAAATACAATTAAAAATTCAACAAAAGCTCATTTACTATGTCTAATTTTTATCATTCGCCGTTGGAGGTGTTAGGCAGTCAGCTTACATTTCAACAACAACAACAACAACAACAACAACAACAAAAAAGGCATGTAGATAGTTAAAGCAGGAAAATGACAGGTTTACTCCAGACAGTCGAAGCCAAGCCTTTCAGAGGGGTCTTTTGAAATGAGATGAGACATGACTGACACACTAGCCAAGGGATGATCTGGGAAAAGGCAGGGATCCAAAAGGCAAGCTCAGAGGCTGCAGAGACAGCTCAGTGGTGGCTCCCAGCACCCACAGCAGGAAGTTCACAACCACCTGTAACTCAGCTCCAGGGGATGTGATGCCTCTGCCTTTAGGCACCTGCACACACTCACGTGCACACACTCATCCTCCCCACGCATACACGTAATTAAAATTAAGTAAACATTTTTGAAGAAGCTGGAAGATGGGTGGCCTACTGGTGGGCCACTGATTTCGTAGAGTGATGGGCTGAGTGATAACCGAAGACATTAGAATATAGCATGTAAAATTTGTGTTTGCTCTGCACATATTTATACTCGCATCTGTGGATACGTACAGACCTGAGTTTGCATGTGCAGTATTTTTTATTAGCGTGTATTTCTTATTACAGTGAAGCCAACAACAGCTTGGAAACCATTGCGGGGGGGAATCAACCTGTAGGAAAGCCATCAGGGCAGGAGAAGGGGAGCCCCGAGAAAAGAAAGATAGTCACCACAGGTGAGTTCACTCTGGGGAAGAAGGCTGTGGCATGGAGGTAGGGAAGGGACACGATTCCTCTGCACACAGCTTCCATAGCTTCCGCCCAAGCGTCTGAAATGTGGGTTGCCAGGTCTCAGCCTGTCACAGTTCACTGTAAGAGACAACCATCCCCCTGTTGCTGTCACTTCATAATCTGTCACCAAGAACTTGTTAAGTCCTCTCTCTCCGCAAGTACTGCCTTCGTGGATCCCATCAATCGTGGATGGAAAACATCTGGAAAAACAACAGCGCCTCAGGACTCGCCCTGCACAGACCTGTCCTCTAAACAATACGGAATAACAACCACTGACACAGCATTTAGTGTGTGTCTGGTAGTCGAAGTAATTTCCAAATGACTTAGAGTACACAAGGCCGTATATGTAGGTTATATGCAAATAACTGCCTTGTTTTATGTAAGGGACCTTTACATAAGGCATCTTTGGATGAGGCATCCTGAGATTCAGGTTTGCAGAGAGGACTCCTGGAACCAATCCGCCTTGAATATGAAGCGGGGAACTATAAACTAATGTGACAGTGAAAAATAAGGTCTAAACTGAGAACCTTAGAGTGAGAAATTGTTAGCTGAAATAGTTAAACGAGAAAGAAAACAAGCTCTTGCAGCTGTGGAGGAGCCCTCTGGCTCACACAGGTTCTCCTTATAATAAACTTTAAGTTAGTTGACGGGATTAAATTTTGTAAAACTCTTGGTTATAATGTCAAGAGGAATGGCATAAAAGGATCCAAACAAGCCAAATGTAGAGGGAAAGAAAAGTCTAGTGCCCTAGATGGCTCTACCATTGCCCAGTAAGGTGGCCTCACAAGTTAACCCCTTCAGAACCTCTATGTGTGAAAACAGGCTGGTGTTGAGCAACGTCCCTTAATCGTATAAAATTCTGATTCTAAGTCACGTTGGAATTATTATAGGTGTTCTGAGATCAACCTGGTGTCTTATCAGCATCTGTAAAAAGGGAAGTTACGTGATACACAATCACGATAACACCCGAAACCCCACAGTAAATGGCACACGGAGGAATTACAAGACAGCTGTCCGTGCAAGCTGTCTGTGGACGCTCACGGAACCGCACTTCGGAGCCCGGTGGCCCTTTCCATATCCCGCGAATGTCTCTCCATACCTGACACACACTTCCTGAAAACAAAGTTTCCACCTCCACCGAGGCGTAGGTAGGTAGCTACCGGGCCGGACCGAGCCCAGGGAAAGCGAGGCGGCGACAGCACTCACCTACAAGCTCTCCGATCATGAAAAGCAGGTACAGGACGGCAGCAATGGTCAGCCTGGTCTTCACCTTCCTCTGCTTCAGCCGCTCGCGCCGTTTGCTGCAGTTGTCGCAGGGGTCCATCTTCAAACTCAGCTGACTGTTGGTCAAAGGTAAGTCCTGGTCCAATAGGGAGTCATCGTCGGCCTGGAGGGCCGGGTGCGCCCCGTTCACGGGCCTGTCCGGGGCTTCCGAGTCATCGTCGGCCACCACGACCCGAAGTTTATTAAAGCGCGAAAGGCCCTCGTCGCTCACCTCGTCCGAGAAGTCAAAGGCGCTGGTGTCATTTAAGAAGAGCGGCGCGTCGTCCTTTCTCAGCAGGGATTTGAGGCGCTTCCACGCG